GGCACAATGTCAATCAGGCGCCACTGATGTGTCTAGACTAACAAGGCTGACCAAATGTAATTATTTTTTTAAATCATCATAAAGTTCTGTATAAAACTGAAATAAAACCATTTCAGCCTCTTCACTAAACACTTATTTTTGAAAAATTTGAATATCTACATGATCAGGGCTGAGTCTTGTGCACAGTCTATTTACGGTAAGTCCAGGTGCAGAAAACACTCTCACCTGACCGCTTCATTTTTTAGATACTTTTCTCAAAACGCCTCCTTCTTTTACTAGTTACTAAATTATTACTAGCAGTCAGTTAATACATTTTTAAATCATGACTTAATCTGTTAAAGTGATTAATTGATTAAAATCGTTAACATCCCTAGTAGGCAAGCTCAAAGACGTTTGGAGCGGAATGGAAACACAATTGAAATTAGCGACAGCAACACAGAAGAAAACACTGAGCCTACCAAGCGAAAACATCGTCAACAAGAAAGGATGCTCAGCTGCAGGAGTTTTGAGATATTTTGGCTATTTACAGTCCAACAACAAAAAACAGATTATCGTGCTCTGTAAACTGTGCCGAAGACAAGTGCAGCACAAATGGGCAAAACCACACAGACCTTTACCCCCATTTGAAACAATATCACCTGCTAGAACACAGCTAAATCAAGAAATGACTGTCTCAAATGAGTGTTAGTGGACTATCAGCAAGCAGTGGCGCAGTAATAAATGTTACTGCCCAGCAGCAAACTGTAATATCAACGTTTTCCAGCTCTGTGCACTGTGCTTATTGTGACATATTCCTCTGTTCAAGTAGTTTGTCATATTTTACAGTAAGGAAGGTTAAACCACAATTAACCATCTTGTTTCAGATAATGATTAGACATTTATCTTGACAATTATGGATATCGACTGACATTTTCAGTCATATCATCCAGGCCAAAGCCGGCAAGCCAACAGTTAGAATATATCTGGCCTGCACATTCTTCTTTATTGTGAATTTTATCATTTAATTTTTTTTAACAACAACACCATGACAATCAGTGACAGACACATTCACACCACGGATCAGAGTGCAAGCAGCACTGCAGACAGTGGACAGCGCCTGATGCTGAAAAAAAAAGCACAGCTATGGCAGCAGCAGTTATCGCCAAAATCACCCCGTATTTATCTTTTTGCCCACATATGAAGTGCAAGACAGTGTGTTTTATTTAAACCTGTATAGTACAATTTGGCTATAAAATACATGACGTGATTAGAGAGTGTGAAGGAGGCTACAAAACAGCCTTAGGTATCATCACAGCAATGTGTGCTAAGAAGGTTAACAAATGTTGTGAAGTGTGACTGCCTATTGTCTGTCTCAGCTGGTTTCTACTTGTGCTTAAAGCTCATGTGGTTAATGTAGTTAAACATCAAAGCATTTCTATGACATGTTTTTGCTGGACTGTTTACAGGTCTTCCTCTGTTTGTTTGTTTGTTTGTTTATCCCTTCTTGTCTTACATCTCAGAAATTTCAATTATGATAAAGACTTTGATTATTGGAAATGGGGTCTTTGTTTACAACTGCTTTAAAACTCAATACAAATTGTTGAATTTAAAAAAGAATAAACTGACATGACAACTGCATAGTTCTATATGCAAACTGTCTGCCAAGTGCACACAAATGATGAGGGTACAGAAGTGGTATGACACTATCACAGTTGCTTGACATTTTTTATGAAATACATTTGCCGCTTTTACAGAAACTAGAAACTATCCAACATCAGAACGCCATGCCATCATGAGCAAACCTGTCTAAACCTGCCCATTCATAATACAACACAACAAGTCTGATGCATCGCTCTACAAATAGGAAGAAAAACAGTAAATAAATCAATCAATCAATCAATCAATCAATCAATCAATCAATCAATCAAAAAACAACTACAAAATATCAGTGTCCTTTCAGAAAAACAACTGTGATGCAGCCTGTTTTCTTAATGCAGAAAATCAACCTTTCATAAGAGCTGTTTTACTGTACAGTACACGTACAACAAAACAGTAACGTTTTTAACATGACCACACGGGATGTGATGTTAGTGTAGTTATTACAATCAAAATATGTTAAATACAAAACATTACCACAGGTGTAAATGACTATTGCTCTGGAGAAATAATGCCAACAAAATAGCTTTGACAGGAAAACCCCAACGTTGACCATGTAGACTACAAAGATCGAAGTCTGCATTCACGATTTGATGATTATCACAGACATCCTTTTATGTTTTGAAAAAGCATGTTTGTAGACAGTGGGCGACTGAAAACCTACTCAATAAATGTCTATTGTAGTTACCCAGCTGTTTAGCATTAGCTTACTTAAAGCTAAAGTAAATTTAAGAAAACGCCCTGGGGATGTCTCTTTGAAGGATTTAGACCTAAGCACACGTATAATGTATGCACAGACGACAAACTTTATAAGCTAAATGTAAAGTTGTGTTCAAATCTTGTGATCGGAAGAAACCTTACGTTAGCTTCTTCTAGCTTAGACTATCGTTATTACTTTCCATTGTGGGAAAGAAACGTCAATTACATAGCCTATATAACCAATCATTTATGAATCAGTCGTTACGTGCTTTAAGTCAGTTGTGGCATAACTTACCGCTAAAGGCTGGTGAATCTCAGAATACAGTGAATTTAGTAACTCGAGTCTCGCTTTGAAGACTCCATGCTACTTAACTAGCTAGCCTTGCTGCTGCAGGCCGAGCCCAGACTATGACATCATGACGCACGCTTCAAACGTAGACGACGCTTTTCGACAATTCCGACAGTAATAAAATAACACAACAGGTAATGTTTTCTGGATTTATTTTATTATTCTGAAAAAGTGGAGTCACACTGCATATTTATTTCTGGACTTTTATAAAGGTTTTGATAAGAGCAGAATACCCATTTACATTTTTTTAAAGCTCGTGGGCTTGTTTATTTTTGTGTTATAAGTGTTATACCACTAAGAAAAATAAGAGTAACTTTACTATTTAACCCCAAATATGGAATCAATCGAACATTATATAAATTAATTGTTTTCCATAAGAAAACTTGTCAGGTACTTTTTGTATATGTTAAATAAATAAAAGACGTTTCCAAAAAATACTAAACATAATATATAAACTAATATTATTATTTTACTCAATACAGCATTGCTTTGGTCTCAGAACTCATTGATTTAGGAAAATTAATAATTGAAAAAAAATTTATTAGCTAATGAAGACATAAAGGAAAGCAAAACAAATTGTAAAACAAATGTTCAAAGTTTGTCAAACATTTCTATCCAAGCTTTATTTCAAATAAATGATACACTGTTAATCATTCATGCTGTCAAAATAATCAGAATAAAATAAAAATATATTTGTATTATAATTATCAAAAGTGTTTCGTTCACTAGAAGTATACTTTAACTTGCTAAACAGTGCCCTCTGGTGTGATATTACGAAGAAAGTCAATAATGATAAAACAAGTAGGTCACATCAAATATTTACAAACAAAAATGTCCATGTATTATTTGGCTTCAATTAAAAAGTTCAAGTAAGAATAAAAAATAAAAAATTAACACATCCATTAACGAATGTGTTATGTACAAATTGTTTTCGAGTTGAGTTTATTTAACTATGTAAACAAACAATGTAAATCAGTTTAAATCAAAGACACCCATGGGCACCATGAGAAGAAATAATTTCATGAATTACCATGTGAAAACTGCTACAGACCAAAACAGGAAATTTCAACACTAGACATATAAATGAAGAAGTCATGGTCAACCAAGAGATGGTGGTTGGTTGGACTGTCAAAAGTGCATTTTTCTTTAAGACTTGACTTTAGGGAAAGGTAGGTATAAGAATTTGATAAAGAAGAAAGTAAAGTATCAAAAGCCTGTTTGTGTGGGGGTTCAGGGGAGAACAAAAACACTGCTGATTAAGATTTCATAATCTCATTTGTGTTACTTAGTCTTCTGTATTCAAAGACAGAAAGTTATCACTTATAGTACATCATTACTTTTGTCAGCCTCTTGAATGAAGGCTAATTCTGAAAAAAACTTTCTTTGGATCAGTCGTATTTCTCAAAATAGTTGTACATTCTCATCTCATAGGGACTTGGGTTGGGAACCGGACCCAAGTCCCCCTCCCCACCATCAGCTCAGGAGCGCCCGCTGTGGGCCGCTCCATCACTCTGGCTTCTCTCCATTAGTGCATGTCCATAGGATCCTGTTTCTGCATTTGTGTGTATTTCAGCCTATGTGTGTGTTCATGACTTACAGAGTGTAAAAACTGAAATATCCCCTTGCGGGGATCAATTAAAGTAAATCTTAATCTTAATCTCTTAAATCTTAATCATTGTCTTTCTTATCATGGACAGTCTTATGCAGAATTAAAAGCTGACCTCTCTTTACTCTGACATAGTTTTCACTGTTTTAATGATAGTGTCAGAGCCCAACATTAAAATAAACTGACCTTTGATTAGAAGGTAATAGTTTAATATTGGTCCTGGAAGGGCTAGAATGTATAATACTTAAACTATAAATCCACCCTTAAAAAAAGAAAAAAATTGGAGCTACTTCCATTTGTAGATATGTGTCAATTTGTATTCACAAATTTGACAAATAGGTGAAGCATCCTTTATGGAAATTAATGATAAAGTAATTAAGTAAAGTTTATTTATATAGCACTTTTCACAGACAAAGGTTACAAAGTGCTTTACATCAAAAAAATACAATGCACATATAATAAAAACAGGAACAAACGAATACTTCATGGACTCACATTATCAAGTCCTGCTATGACCAGGAACAATAATTGGCACAGTAAAACATCAATAGGTAGACTGGGTGGACATGGTTACCCATAGGCCTGTTTAAACATCAACGTTTCAGCTGCTTTTTAAAAGACTCAACGTTTGAGGACTGTGCAATGTCCTCAAACGCATGATCACCACAAATCTTAAAATGTGTCTATGGGACAGACAGGTAGACAGATAGATGTTGATCAAAATTATTTATTTTTAAGAGTGATTCCGATGTGCTCGTCCTTTGTATAGAAGAAACACATTTCTTTGACCATTTACCAGCTTTAGTTTATGCCTCATTTGATCATTTTCACTTTTTCTACATTCATATTGAAGCAGCAACAATCAATACAATGGGAACAGAACAAGGCATATAGAAAGATGACGTCATACATACTGAATGAAACATTATTTATTGACTTTATTTTTTGTTCACTTATTTAAATAAGTTCAATGGTCTTTTTATTTGTCTAAAAGGAAAACATGCAGTGAAGTTGATGTTTCAATGTGATTAAATGGACAGTATTTTATTTATTTACTTAACAAATAATTTCATAATTTCAACAGCTATAATTAAGTCAAGCTATTGTTTTGTTATTTACAAAAAAAATCAGATCAAATAAATTAGAATGAACTTCTAAATTGTGTAGCATGACTATAAATATACATATAAGATGACAGCCGGGTGGTCTCTATAGCACAAGAAATAAACATTTTAAGATTATATACAGGGCCCCAAAAATATCTAGCACAAGGGCTATTTTAAGAAATGGCACATCAAACCCTGTTGGGATGAAATAATTCTATAAACCGTATCCCTGAATATATTTTATTTGTAATTTGAATATTCCATCTACATATGTCTTAATGGGGATACATTGTAAATACTCATTGAATAAACTACTACTACTACTACTAAGTTGAAAAATGTTTACAGTTAGACTCAAATTTGTAAGAGACAAGCAACTATAAAAACAAGTTATCGATTAATTTAGATTTTTGTAATGTTTATGTTATGAAAAGTCTTACAACTCAGTATTACGGATTTGCATTTCTTTGCTGTGACTGGTGTTCACTGCAGTTGAGTTGGTGTGAGAGCCAGAATCATCCTCCTGGAAGGCAGTCTCCAGTACTGTAAGGATGGATTTACGGATTTTGTCCCTGAAATCTTGGCCCACAAAAACATAAAGCAGTGGGTTCAGGCAGCTGTTTAAAAAGGCCAGGCTGGTTGCTATTGGGATCCCAATGGTAATGACATAGTCTAGTGCTTCATAAGCAAAATTGTTTAGATGATGAACCAGGTCAATCAGACTTAAGATGTGAAAGGGGGCCCAGCAGAAGAAAAAAGTGGTAATGACTGCAGCGATGATCTTAAATGGGCGATTTGACTTGCTGGCCAGGGTGCGGTTTCTTCTGAGACGATGGATTATCACAGCGTAACAGGACACAATGACAGTGAAGGGGAAAACAAATGCCAGGAGGAGGCGAGTGATGGTCATGGCCTGTTGACGAAACTGTGCCAGAGCCAAATTGTGGGCAAAATTGTTATAGCAGACGATGATCTCTACATTATTAAAGGCTGACACAGTGTCCCTAAAAACAAAGGTCGGTATGCTGAGAATCAGAGCCAGAACCCAAACACCCAGACTCACAAGGGATGCCTTGCGTACATTACGATGGTTCTGTGCCCAGATGGGCCACACAACAGAAACATATCTGTCCACACTGATCACCACCAGAATGTAGACACTGGCAAAAATGTTAAGGGAATTCAATGTGCTGTTGAGTTTGCACATGAACTTGCCAAAAGGCCAGTGGAAACCTAACGCCAGGTATGTCACAGACAGCGGCAGAGATATAAGTAAGAGGAAGTCGGCCACAGCGAGGTTGAGGAACCAAACTGAGTTAACTGTTTTCTTCATCTTAAACCCCGTCACCCAGATAACCATTCCGTTACCGAGCACACCAAGAACAAAAGCCAGGCAGTAAATAATGAGAGACATGATGTTAAGAGACTGTGTCAGCTCAGCATACGGGTTTGTATATGTTTCATTTGTTCCAGGCATATTTGTCGTATTGATGTTATATGAAGAGATTGTGGTCATCGCCATTGTTGTTCAGAGCCCTGCAATGACAATGGAAGAAACAATATGAATTGCTTTCTTTTTCTATTATTTTCCCGATACAGATGACAATGATTAAATTAGACATTGGCCTTATAAATATGCACATTTGTATAAATGTAAACTTTAATTGTATTACTTACTTTACTTTGCTTAATATTTAATGAGCTAATAATGCTACATTCAGTTCAATACTTCTATGCATTTATAAAAGCAGAATTCCCGAGCTTAAGTAAAATAACTGTATTCAGGTTTATAATTTGTCTATAGGAATCTAATAATAGCCAACAAGTGCTGTGAAGGCAGGAAGGGATAGGACCCCAGCGAAGATGGTTACTTACTGGCAGGTTTTTGTAGATACTGTATGTAGGCAGGAAGACTGGTTACAACAAACAGGCAGGTAGGAAGGCAGGTCTGGGAAACAAATGGGAAAAATCACAACATAACAGGGCTTTACCACAAAGGAGAGGAGGCCTAATTAGCAATAGAGTTACACAGAAGAGTAAAGAAAATGAACTAGACACGACAAACATTAGCTTCACAACAATGGCAAAAACCTGCAACCATTATTTGTTTGGGCGCACATACACTTTTAGTATGGATTCTACGAACTGTTTTATAAATGAGACCTCAGGAGAATTTTTCATAGAGCATAAAACCTGTGGAAAAAACGCATAATTAGGCTTTAATCAAAATAACAGTAGGCTATATTAAAAGTTTAAAATGTGTTCTGATTATAAATCTTAATAACAATTTTTCTCGTTGTAGATAGGCTACAATAGAACAGCAACACGCATATTTGAGCCTACTGACAATAACTAGGTCTTTACGGCTAATAAAAACAGTTGTATATGGAGATTATAAAAGCTTTACAAAAGCTTGGTTAAGCTAAGTGTTATTTGTTTTTGTTTTTGCAAGCGCTCATAACGCGTTTATTAAGGTTATAGGCCTACAAGTGCCCCTGAATGCGTTATCATCCAACAATTGACATATTTCAGAAACTTTTGTCATCACCTTAAAAACCTGCATTAGCCTATCACAAAACAGAGCCTATATGGTCGGTATATTGGTGGAATGGATGGTTGGCTAAATAGGCTTATAGGTGTTTTTAAATAGCCTATCTACCAGTTTAACCATTTATCGGTTCATCCGGGCAGTAGTTTGGCCTATTTATATTTCATAATGAATATGAAAGATGCGCACAGACAAAAACGAACGCGTGCAGAAAAGGAAGATGAATATTTTTAAAGAAAAAGACTTTAAAAGAGAAAACACTAATAACCAATGTGATTAATTATTTCCACCTTTTGAATCTAAGTGATGCCAGGATGTCCGGATACATTTTTTTTTTATTGCAACAACATATGGCATTCTATCCTCTTTCCAACTAAACTATTAACAGGGCATAGCCTCTGACTGAAATTCACAACTTTAGAGGGAAGTATGAAAAAGGAGGAACTCGATATTATGATCAAAACTTTTTGCAGTGTTTTAAAGTCGCCAAACTTTTTCATTTAAAAAAACATTATTGCCACGGAAAATCAGCAAAATCTCTGAAACAACTTTAAAAAAAAAAAAAGTTTTAGGCCCACATAATTAATTGCTTTAGGCTATTTTAAAATTCAGCGTATAAATTACGGACTATTTCCTTTTTTTTAACAACCCTGAATGATTTATTTTGTGTGTAAACGTATTTTACATTGTTTAAAAAAGTATGACGTAGCCTACCTTTCCAAAAGTTTTCAAGTCTTCTCTGGACAAATCAGTGGATGAAGTTATCAAGCTGTCAGATAAATATAGGCCTGGGCGTGTGTGAATGTGTGAATTGCGTCATCGCCACTTAGAGGCGGTACCACATCAGCATGCAAAAAAAGACAATACTAAAATGTATTGAATCTTACTTGTGAATAGACTAGTTCATGCTCTGTATTTGGAAGTGAATTGCCATTTACTGCACTTAAATAAACATGTAAGTTCTAGCAGGATTGTACAAAAACTGAGGATTGCCTTCTTTTCTTTTTTTTAAAGCAACCAGCTCCCTCTGTGACACTGTGCTGCTATGCACAAAAACTATGCTGCCTCTGTGTATTCATCCCTGTAAGCAAAATATATTTAAAATGAAAATATGTATCTTTCTAACACGTTATTTGGACATTGTAGGGGGAACTATGCAAGTTTAGTATTTCTGCATCCCATTTCATCCTGTCAACTGTCCTGAAGATTTGGTAAGAACATTTTGACACCTATGCCACTGTCAACACATATTGCCAAATTTTTTTAACCTCTAAATTAAGAAATAAGTTTATGCAAGCACATATTTTTCCACAAAGAGTGCTGGCAACACTCAGCAGCTCAGTCACATCAAATAGCACCATGCAGTAAGACAAACACTGTATAATTTCATGTATTCTCCACTTTGATAGTTTTTTCGAAGCTGATAGAAGAAGTGCATCGTTTCTGTTTAAAAACTGTTTACCAACAAGCAACACAACATTAATTCACTACGGAGGCCTGTTAACTTTGGACTTTTTACATTTCATCTAAGGTATAATGGAAACCACTTTTATGGATGAGCTTGGCTGTGACTTTAGGTACTGGTTGACCAATCTCGTTTCTTAACAGCACACTTTGTTCGGCACAAACAATTCATATTAACGTAGCCTATTCTAGCAAAATGAGTACTCAGAAAATGTATAGACTTGTGATTTCCTGACTACACCACCTGACTCGCATGCAAAAAATAACTGCAACACAGTGATTCATGCAGCAATTAATAGTGCAAACAGATTTGTAGCACTGTTTCCACAACTAAAAGCTGAAAATCAGTCACTGCTAAAGCATGTTTTCTACTACTATTGTTTGTTCTTAAATGACTTCTTAAGTGCATCGAAAATAAAAAAATAAAAAAATCCAAAGAGATCAAAAGGCCAGATAATTGTGGTGTCAATCGCACTCGTCACAAAGTACATTTAAACCAAACCCTAATCTCAGAAGCAAATTGGGAAACAGCGCCTTCTACTGGCCATATAAGTAATAACAAGGATAAAGCAACTATTAAAAGTCCTCTGATTCAACTAGTTATTTATGATATATTAGTATATGATGCTGAGTTGCCTTGTACTGAGGATTGGTACACTAAGGGTGACTGCTCCATGTTTTGAAAAGTTATTTGACATAAGACTAAAAGGCTTAAATTCAGATAATATTGAAATTATGGGGCTGATGGTTACTACAACCACAAAAACAATCATCATCATTATCATCATTTATTGACTCCCACTACAACTTAAAAAGTACAGAAACAGCAACAAAATCCTTAATTTTTTCTTTTTTTTATTACATTTTATGAGAATAAGTATATTTTATATCAACAAGCTATGTACTGAAGTCATACTGTAAGTGTGACACAATGTTTTGGTAGATAAACACAATAGTTGTTTATTAATCCATTGTTTACAGCTTTTTAAATGGTTTTATGTTATGGTTTAACCATGTTTTTTTCTTCATTAAACTGGAAATGTTTCCTGTTTTCTGCTGTTCCAAACAAAAGCCAGTTTGATTGATAATGAAAAAAAAACCTGGTTTCAGCTTTTAAATAAAACAATGAAATGAAACACAAAAAAGAGAGATAAATTAAAGCTGTCAGTTTATTTACATAAGATGCATTCACTGTTGGATGGGATCACAGACATACCCTAAAACCTCCAACAATGATAAAAAATATCACACTTAGCCAAGTATACTATGCAAATAACTTTCTAAGCAAAGTAATCCCATATTGATTTTCATAAGTATCAAAAAGCTTACATAAAGCTTACACTGGCCTGTGCTTGCGTTGAATGACAGATGTAAATAGCTTGTTTATCAAGCATGCAACAGTCTGTTAAATACATTTCTTTGTTTTAGTCATACATAAAGCTGTGCAAGAAATAAACATTACATATTGGGTTAATTAATACAGACTAATATACAGAAAAAACATTTTATTTCACTTCAACTTGTATGCATGCAGTTATGACCTGTGTGGCTGCTGGTTGGTGGCTGGGTGGAGTCCAGTGTGAGGGAGAAGTTGGGTAACTAATTTGCTGAAAACTTGTTTTTGCAATAAAAGGCATGATTTTGAAATAAACACAAGGTACTTGTGCCCTAATGAAAGGATAAGAGCTCAGTGAAGACATCCCTTATCTCAATTATGCCCCTATGCCCTACTGATAAGTTACATAACCTACCCTATGGCCCTTAGTTGCCACTTTGTCCAAAACAGCATTGCCACCTTCAAACCCAAGCTGTGTTAATGCCTCCCACTTGGCCCCTTCAACAACTCAACTGTGTAGGCTAATGGTCAACAAGAGCCAGGACATCATTGGGGTACCTCATCTGGGAACCTCCATTCAGAGGAGTAATGAAGATACCATTGTGGGTCAAAGTGCAGCCAAAAACAGGACTGTATAGCAAAGAATAACCATTGATACAATATATAACAGACACATCCAGCCTCTTGCTTTTCTGTAATTCAATGGGGGTAAATGTGCCTGCACGTGTGAATTCATATGTGTTGATTTGTTTATGTTTCCTTTCATTTCAACTGATGTAAAGCACTCAAGCCTTTGCTTCTGGTAAACACTGCATAGAAATAATTATTTTCATCATTTTAAACATTCATACGTTCCATCACTATGCACTGCTGATGGACCACAAGTCATTTTACAGTATTGCCATCCTTCTCATCCAGCATATTAGAAGAACTGAAGGTGGTGCTGAGAAACTGAATTATTTTCTAGACCTCAATAGTTAGCCAATCATAAAACCTATTTCAGTAAAACTGTAACAGGTCAAATGTTCCAACTCATATAGCCTATATATCTGCTGTTTTGGTTCCTTATTAGAAAAGTAACAAAAACTTCAAAATATGTTTTATGTTACAGTTAAAGTATTTGTGTTTTCATGTCATGGACAAACCTTATACTTCAGCATCAGAAACAGACTTTTCTTTGCTCCGACTAGTGATCATTGAGTTTGTGCAGGTGTAAGATCGAGAAACCTCTTCCTGAAAGGCAGTCTCCAGAACATTCAGAATGGATTTGCGGACTTTATCTTTGAAATCTTGGCCCATGAACACATAGAGCAGTGGGTTTAAGCAGCTGTTGAGGAAGGCCAGGCTAGTGGCTATAGGGACTCCGATAGTGGTGACATGGTCCAGTGTTTCACTTGCATGATTAGCCATGTGATTCACCAACTCAATTAGAGCCATGATGTGATAAGGAGCCCAACACAGGAAAAAAATAGTGATTACTGCAGCGATGATCTTAAAGGGCCTGCTCGACTTGCTGGCCAGGGTGCGGTTTCTTCTGAGACGATGGATAATCACAGTATAACAGGACACAATGACAGTGAAGGGGACAACAAATCCCAGGAGGAAGCGGGTGATGGTCATGGCCTGGTGACGAAACTGTCGCAGCTGATTCACAGACGGAGTTTCATAGTCATCAGAAAATGCAAAGTTGTTGAAGCAGTTGATGATGTCGTCATTATTATATGATGATCCAATATCTCTAAAGATGAAGTATGGTGCACTGAGAGTCAGAGCCAGCACCCAAACACCCAGACTCACACAGGACGCCTTACGTACACTCCTGTGGTTCTGGGCCCAGACGGGCCACACCACAGACACACATCTGTCCACACTGATCACCACCAGAATGTAGACACTGGCAAACATGTTCAAGAAGCTTATTGTACTGTTCAATTTACACATGAACTTGCCAAAAGGCCAGTGGAAATCCATGGCTGTGTATGTCACACTCAGGGGCAGGAATGCAGTGAAGAGGAAGTCGGCCACAGCGAGGTTGAGGAACCAAATTGTGTTAACTGTTTTCTTCATCTTAAACCCCGTCACCCAGATAACCACTCCGTTACCGAGCACACCAAGAACAAAGGCCAGGCAGTAAACAATGAGAGACATGATGTTAAGAGACTGTCTCAGCTCAGCATGCTCGTCCTTATAGTCATACTCTTCATCATCGTCATACATTGAGCCATTTCTTCCAGTGGCATCTGTTGTGTTGATGTGGTAGAAAGGGGTGGTGGTCAATAGATCCATCATTGTTTTGAGAGCTGCAGTAAGAACGAAACAAAAGTTAACCCTTTCAGATTTGACCAAGTCTCTTATCATTCTTGAGATTAAAGATTTAGATTATTATGTCCATCCCATTACAAACAACCATTTACAGTGTACAATCTTTTCATGACAACCGAGACAACTCTTGCAATTTTTGAAGACAATTTAAAAATGAATGAATGCCTTTTAGAGAATATCTAATAATGCTTATTAGATAAGATCTAATAATGCAAGAAAAAAACCCTTAAACTTCTCAATTACAATGTTTTAGTCCTGCCAAACATGCGCGCAAATTGTGCAACAATTCTACTGCTGAAGTGGCACGTAAAATGGGGAACCAAAATTGATGAACATGTGTTTTTGGAAAGATATCTAAAAGCCACACCTCACCACTAGTGTCAAAACCAATCTGTTGCATCAACAAAACTATTTTTACGCACTGGAACCAGCTGTGGTTCATTTACAGGTCGTCCTGAAAGATCAAGAATACGTTAAAAAAAAAAGAAAAAAAGAAACCTCACTGAAACGAAGCAGTTCAAATCCATACAATTTTACAGTGGAAGTTTTTCCCTAATTTAAAGGTCCCCCCTTTTTAGTTCCGTGGGATAACAAAGGTAGGCTACAGTACCTCTCTCAAAGCGCCAGTCCGATGAGGATGTATCCGCTGCAAAAGCAAATCTGAACGCAGTTTGCTCAGTCTGCAGGATTATTGGAGTTCTGTTCCCTGGCTCCTTAAATATATGACGTCATCACCCACATCGAGGCGGGACATCAGGCGCTCTCACTCTCATTAGGAGACCATAAAGTTTTGCGCTGTAGGCTGTATCTGTTGGGCCATACGATTGTAGAACATTTTTTGAAAATTTGTTCAAAGAAACTTAACTGCAGCTTCATTGATAGACGGGCTACATTAATGCACACAGTAGGCTATATCTAGACTGAATTCACAGACACGCAATTATCCCCATTTACTGACAGAGTAAAACACACAAACAAACAAAGCTCTGTGTGTGTTAACCTGAAGTCTGGCGCAAAATCTTGCCAAGACTCGTCTGCCTCGGAAAGCAGCATGATTTAGCTGGGAAACTCCAAAAGCAAAAACACCTAGAAACCAAACAATTATGCCTGCATATGCACAAGTTGTGGGTTTGTTGAGATGACCTGAGATGGAGTTAGTTGTGACTTATCATGTGCACCAGGGATCCTGCTGTGTAATGTGTTTTTCACCAAGTCGACTGAGGTCATGTTTTGTTGCGGTTTTAAGTGTGATGGCTCTGTGTTTGTCTAGTGACTGGTTATCTGGGGGTTACATGATTGTCATATTTTTGATGTCCCCTTGCTTCACCCTGCACTGTGTTGCACCTTTCTGTTTTTTGTAAATTAAATACAAGCTACTCCCACTGTGCCCATGTCCATTTAAAACTGGACAAACAACTGTGGAGCCACTCACACTTCAGAAATAATTACTTTTTTCACATTATTGTTGTGCTTATACAAAAGTGTATGTTACTAAACAGAGTGGTCTTCTTAGGCAGCATCCCTTCTTGACATTAAACATCTATCTGTATTTGAACATGGACATTTTTGCAAGCAAACACTACTAAACAGTGCCACAGTTTTCTTTTTTAATTTTCCTTTTGCAGCTAATTTTGTGTTAATTGTGACACAAACTTAACATGAGCTCCAAAGTTAAAAAGGAAACATCTTGGTACAGGATGGGATTTGGTCACTGGAGAATACTTGTCACTCATTAAACTACACCCTGCATTCCTGAAGAATGTGACATCTAAAATATACGCTAAAAGGTGAACAAGTTTTACTACAGAACGCTGTTAGCAAACAACCGCAACCCTGATTGCTAGCTTAAAACAAAAGAGAATTCATACACACACCCTGGAGCGAATTCAAGCTGTAATTGCCGGCAATTTCATCTTTTAAACCTGCCTGGCACATTCCTGTTAATGTTATACTTAAAAGATATCCCAGTACAGATCTCTGGGCCTGAAAATTGGAACTGAAATCTATCCTTGAAATAACATGAAACTAAAGATCAGCTGCATGATTAACAGAGTTCAAAACTAAAGAACAAATGCAAGAGGAAAATATTTAAAAGACCTTCCTGATTACTGCTCCATGCTTGCATGAAGAATGTGTCTATATGCACAATATCCTATCAGTCATACAGACACAACAGGAAGAGACAAATAACATTGGACATATATTAATAAGAACAAGATGCAGGCATGAACATGTGGGTGTATTGGCTGCAGAGACTGAAAGTTAGGCTTATGTCTCCAGAGTACAGCCCTACCTTTCATTTTGAGAAAATAATGTCTCATCTGAGTTTGACTTCATGGTCATATTTCCTCCCATATGGCTCTTCTTTACTCTGCTGCCCCATTGCACTACCCACACATTTGTTCATCTGTATGATGAGGTTGGGAGTTGTTCCTTTTTTTAAGCATTAAAAATTAGTGGAAAATTACAAAAGTCATTTTATCCAGAACCCTATTACTTGTGTGTTCATATTCAACATTTTCAGACTAAAGAAGAAGTAAAATATACCGTAAAAAAACAGTCAAAATGTTTGACCTCTGAAAGGCAAATAAGAACATTTGCTAGATGACTGAACATGTTTGCAACATAACTTTTCTAATCTATAACCACCTAGGTGTCAGACAAAGATAGTTACTTCCCCGTTCAGAATGAGTATTTTTTTTACATAGGATCACTGCAATACTTTTCACCAGAAAACAACACTCATGCATGTACACGGTGAGATAAGCAAAGAGGCTAAGTGGTTCTCCCTTGTATGCTTGGGGTGCAGAAATCAACCCCAACCAACAGTTCCCTTCAAATAACTGATAACTGGTATACATTTGGAAACTGCAGTTCATTGTGAGTTACATTTAAATAATTTCAACTTTTTTTTACATTTCTCTTAAAATAATATTATGCAAAATTAAAACTCACAGCTATATATTACTTTTTTGAATAAAATATTTGCACCACTTAAAAAATGGATGATAAAAGCTTGAAATCTCAATCCGATGTCTTAAATGTTTGATATTAACGATCCGATCAACCAGACAAAGAAACATCTTAGTGGCTTTTATGAGCTGAGTTTAAACAACGAGCCTCAAAATCTTAAAGTGATCAGACTTGCGTGGTGTGATCTGCTAAAAGCTGCCCAACCCTAAAATGCTGAACCCCCTTGCTAATGTACACACACCCCACACAGGAACTGTGTTCTGCCAATACTCCAGATGTGAGGGGGAGGAAGGAAAGAGAGAGAGAGAGTGAGAGAGACTGTACATCTGTGTGAGCGTGTCCGTGTATAGACTCCTTTAGTCCCTGCATGGGTTCACAGCAACACCCTCATTTCTGTGTGTAGGAGGACACACGTCTGTTATCATTGCCTTTTTTCTTCGGATACATAAATATTCACAATCTGAATGTTTCTCCCCACTGAGCGATATTCTACACCGGCACCAAAAACAATTCCCTCTAACTACAGGAAATACTTTGAAATAAGCTGACCCATGCAGTTAACTTTTCTCATTGCTTCCCAACTACATTTTTAGCTCCATTTGTTGCACAAATTACATTTCCATTTTATCTTAAGTCTAAACCGTACAGTTACTCTCTTTAATCCAGTCACAACCCTCTTGAGCAACACATCCTCCACTTTTCTTTTCTGTGCTTAAATGGGTTTTTTGAATTGTTTGCTGCAAAGTTTTGTAACAGAGCAGTGAAGGCAGAGCGTGTTGCTGCTGTCTGTAGGGGATATTAATAGTCATCGCAGGGCTATAGTTTGAGGGAAGCCTTCAGAGGCTCGGGCTTGCCAGAGTTCTTGATTTACCAACCAAACCTGCAATTATGTGTATGCCGCACAAATACCAATTTGGGTGTGTAAAACAACTACTGGAGGTTTAAAAGGAGTTTAGTTTTAGCAGAGGGTGATATATGCAGTTAGAGTTTGGGGGTTTATTTTTCACTTATACACCTGGGAGAGTGGGGGTTGGGGGGGACAACCAGAATTGCACAACTAACTGCATCTAAGTTTTGTATCTGTATGTGTGAGACAGTGCATCACTAATGACACACTCTGACTCCCTGCATCACTTATACACACCCAGTATTTTCTCCTCTGCTGTGTGCAAAACACTGAGCTCACAACATTTCTAAATCCACAAGTTCATTTTTATGAAATGTGTGGCATACTGACTGTTGTGTGTTGAAACTTCAAGACGTGAGCTGTGCAGTCACAAAGACACAAAATGTGGGATACTGCTTCGTCCTGAAACCTCAAAGGTTTGTTGATCTTGTTGCGGTGCTGACTGGAAATCAAACCCTTGTCACACGGCTGTGGAGAGGTCAGGAATTTTGTTTTTCAGGGCAAACCCCCGGTGCCAACTGCTCTAGCCTGATAGCTCACTGACAGTTTTTTCCATGAAAAAAAAAAACACACACAGAGGAAAAAAGCTGAACCTCAATAACCACAACCACTTCCTTACATTCGTTCTTACTTTGGACCACAGCGCCCGGTCCCCCTCAGCAGGCCTGAGGGATATGAATAATAAGCCTGGGCTCTGTCTGACAGCAAACAAGCCTGGCAGAGCATAACCCATGCAGATGTGTGACACAGTGCTCTCTCTATGTCTGAGGGTACTTTGAGGGACAGTGAAATGGGGTTAGGGGTACATGTTAAACAGGGCAAACAGATGGTGAACTCAATGGACGATCTGAGCCTTTTTTAATGTGTAACAAAGGGTTAAATAAAGGCAATGGTGCTTTTAATTAGTGAAGGCCAAATGTAGTTTTAGATTGCAGGGAGAGAAGTATTTATATTTTTTCTAAATCCAGCTGATCACATCCTGGATGCTGTTTTGCAGATGTGCAACCCAACAGGCATCTGTGTGTCACATCTGTGTTTATCAAAGTAATTTCTGCCCAATTATCTGACTCTTTGCACATGTGGCACACTTCAACCATTTTGGCAATTTAGTTTTCTCTAATAAATATCCTGTAGCCTTGTTTTCCTAGTGAAAACTTAATGAAAATGTACCCCAACAGTGAACCTGCAATGTTTTTTTAAGGGTTGAAGTCTCTCAGAATAACATGCCAAGTTGTCACACAACTCAGCACAGGGCGACTGGGGCAGACGCTGTGTATGCCACATATAATGAGGAGGGGAGAACCTGCCTGTGCTGGATGGGAATGCGTTATATCTTAACCTTAAGTGTATAATCACAGGGTTTGCTTAAATGTAGCCTCACATTTAGATGTTTTCCTGTCTGCTTCTGATGAAAACACCTTTGCTCACACATGAGTAATAGAGTCCTGTACCTCTCAGCAGTGACAAGCAGTTTGGTAATTTCCAAACAGCGAAGTGGTCATTTCCTTGATAACACTTTATATTACGGTGCTTGTAATAAGCATTAATTAATAGGTAATAAGTCACTTATAAGAGCTTATTAGATTCTTACTAACAAAAAAGGTCTATATAAGTATTAATAGAGGCATAATTAACATATTTATTATTCATCATAAGACACTTATAGGCTCTTATTCGAAACTTATTTACAGTTTATATACCATCATAATAAGATGTTTATTAACATTAATAAGAGTGTTAATTATACTATAAATTCATTCATAATTGGCTTGTAAGATATTCATTATCACAAAGAAACTTGTTTATAGACCACTTATCAACGTCCAAAAGATGAATAAGACTTAATTAGGTTCATATTAATGCCTTAAAAAGATTAATAAATCCTTTATTATGCACTTATTAACAGTTAATAAAGCTCCTTCGCAGCTACTGACGCAGCTCTGTAAGTGTGTCTGTAAGACAAAAAACTTTCTAACTTTCTGGGAGATGCAGGGTGTCTGTAGTAAATGTTAAATCGGCATGTTTTCTGATGTTTCATAGTCAAAGACAAATCAGTATTTTGCACATTTTTTACTTTTTCATCAATATTAATTCATTTACCGGTAAACTTTTTCTTGAGTAATGTTGAGTTATCTTTGATTGTTGTTGGTCTGTAGCACAGCATTTCTGTTTAGTTGGTTTTTTTTTTAGCTACTGACATTAACAGGAAACAACATTATGAAAACATTTGGTGTGTCATAGCTACCAACATATCTGATCAAATGCAGGGAACATTTGATCAGATATGTTGGTAGCTATGACACACCAAATGGGAACATTTGATCAGATATGTTGGTAGGTGTGACACACCAAATGTTTTCATATGCTGTTTTCACACTAACAGAAATTTCCTGAAAAACTCTGGATATTTCCAGGAGGAGCTGTATGTGTGAACGCAAAAGGCCACATTTTTCACTTGGACTTAACCCAGAGTTTCTCCTGCTAGACCCCTAGTATTTTGTCTGCTGCAAGTCTGAGTGGGCAGATGTGAGAACGCAGCAGGATATTCTCCGGAGTATTCAGCTCGAGCCAATAGGAGGGGGGGTTATGTTTCTATACTGTAACTGCTGCACAGTGCAAGTGTTTACACACGACCACTACGATCTCTGTGCACATAACAGCTGCGTTATATTTTCTGTTTGCCAGTATGTTGTTCTCCGCTCTTTTGTGGATGTTGTCATTCTGTTAGACTACACATAGCATTGACATAAAGGCAAATATTGTCATTATAGAGTTGTGTAGCGGACTCTGTTGCTACGTCCGCTACTTCCGTGTTGTTTTTTTACGTCACGTCTTACCTCAGGAGATCCCCCTCTGACAGGGATACCCCCCCCGCTGTGAGGAGCATATGTGAACGGCTAGGTCGGGAGAATCTCTGGAGCACTCCTCCTGTAATTATCTAGATATTATCCGGAGTGCATATGTGTAAACGGCTATAATGTTGTTTCCTGTTTACGTTAAAGATAATACTTGGGCTGAAAGTGTAATACTTTTATCTTAAACTAACAATAAGATACAACTATTTGTTTTTTTAAGATTTATTTTTGGGATTTTTGTGCCTTTAATGGAGAGACAGGACAGTGGAGGCCTGTCTTTTAAAAAGTGAGCAGAACATTCAGGGTTGAGAAATGGCTATTTTCAGCACACTGGTGAGCGTCTTTTACCACATATAGTACCAATGTACAAAGACTTACTCAACGTCCACAAGGGTAAATGTGGGTTCACGGTGCTCACGTAACATCCAGTATGTGATTTCATAATAAGTCTTTTGTTACAAACATTGTCATGGTGACATATTTTGTTGAAAAAAAAAGTACATCTGCCTTTTAAAATCACACAACCAGAAATAAACCCCATAGAAAACAATGAGAAAGAAAGAAACACATGCAAAGTGTGCTGACTGAACGCAGACTAACAAAGGGGAATTCCAAATACCACTTTATACAATTAAATCGGTTCCCCTATCCAAGTTCTTTTTCCTGGTTCTTTTCCCAGGATAGAATTGAATTTTTTTTGTCTGTTTTCCCCCCATACATAAAACTAAGTGTTCTGGGGAAATGTAACACATGTTTGGTGTTTAATGTGTACCTCTGACGATAGAAGACCTTGAGAGAAATGAGATAAGAGGACTAAAATACCTGAAAGTAAGAGTGTGAGAGCACATTCATCTGCAGGAATGAAGCTGCTCCTTCTTCTGACTCTCTTTGGAGGGGCAGGTACAGTACAGAGTTTATAGACACTGAAAAAGTCTTGTGATCGGGCATTAATTGCTGCATACAAACTTTAATTTGAGGTGCCTAATCACCGTAATCATGTTTCTTCTCTGTTTTCCTTAACTTTTGCAGTTGCTCTGAAGGATGAGGACAAGATAGTTGGAGGATATGAGTGTCCAAAAAACTCTGTACCCCACCAAGTATCTCTCTTTACGGGGTACAACTACTGTGGTGGGATCCTGCTGTCTGAGGAGTGGGTGCTGTCTGCTGCACACTGCAAATCCAAGTAAGAACGAAGCCAGAAAACCAAAACTGTAGCATCTGCTTTATGTTGATGCATTTATGTTGTGATTGTATGACTCTCATTTGGAGAAGCAGAGAAAGTACAAACTGACTTAAATATTTTCTTCTCCAAGGTCAGATATAGAAATTCGACTCGGTGAGCATGACATCTGGGAACCTGAAGGGACTGAACAGCACATCATGTCTGCCAAGTTTATCCAACACCCTGACTACAACTCCCGCTCAAAGGACAATGATATCATGCTGATCAAGCTAAATCGACCAGCTACCCTGAACAGCTACGTACGCCCAGCTAGACTTCCTTCAAAGTGTGCCAGTGATGAAACAATGTGCCGGATCTCTGGATGGGGAAATATTCGTCCCAGTGACGAGGGTTGTGAGTACTAGCAGGCTGAAAACTCTCTTCAAAAGTATTTGTAATCCCTTTATGGCACACGGACATGCATCACATTTTCTTGTGTCATCCAGCAAAGTTTCCTCATAAGCTGCAATGTCTGGAGGTCCCTCTCTTGAGTGATGACACATGCTTTAATGCATATCCTTTCCAAATCACTGAGAACATGATCTGTGCTGGCTACCTGGAGGGGGGAAAGGACTCCTGTCAGGTAATGTATACAAAGGTAGCTACCGCATAAATAAATAAAAAAAAGCTTCTGCCAGCAAAGATAGCCCATTTGTCTTTTTGTTATCAGGGTGACTCTGGGGGACCCATGATGTGTGATGGAGAGCTCCAAGGTGTCGTGTCCTGGGGTAAGGGCTGTGCCCAGAGCAACAAGCCTGGGGTCTACACTAAAGTGTGCAACTACATCTCCTGGATCAAGAACATCATGGCGTCTTTTTGAGCGGGAAAGCTGTCAAACAATTCACATTTGATCTGGCAACAACAGTAAAATGAACATGATGATGATCTGTGTGAACAGTGTGGTTTATACATGTATATCAATGTGTCATTTAAAGGATAGGCTATTTATTTAAAACTGAAAACCCTGTATTAAGAGAAATACATAGCTGCCTCCTCAGTTGAAGCTTCAATAAGCTAAAGCTCAACACATGCACTTTAAAAAGCTGTAAACCTACAGAGAGGTGTTATGCGTCTTGTCTTGTTAATGTGTGTGGTGTGCCCAGTACCATAATTCATAGCTTAGTTTAGCCTGAGAGTCAAAATGCCAAAGACATAACAAACTGTGTGACATTGCTAGTTCCTTAGTCTCAGTGACTCAGGATGACTTTACCATTTATGTGCAGATGGGTTCTTTGCTCATATGCCTTGTAGAGCGTAGAATAGTTGAGGAACAAACCTGACATTTGCAGCCAGCAAACAGTAAATCAAGACAGGCAAAAAAACACGGCTACACTGCTCTCTGTGGGCTGAAAGTGTAAATGTTGCTCACTTTTGGTTACTCACCAGAATCACTGTTTGTAGAGCACTGCTGCACTAAGACAGCAGGCTCTTCTGTTATTTACTAACCGATTCAGCTGAAGTTTATTGAAATATTCAAAATTACAATATATACAAGGTCCATGATGGTAATGTGAGGTTTGTGTTAATTAGAAATGAAAGTGTTCATTATCAAAAAAAGTCAGATGAAAAGGCATCAGGTGCACTTGTGAATCCAAAAATATCCCAAATTGATTTCAGTGGATTTTATTTGCCAGGGTGTGGCACGGAGCAGAGGAGTGAGTCACTGAGTTTCTCTTGACCACCAAATAAAGACCTAACAAGGTTTCTAAGGACTCATACAATAAATAGCTCTCATTGCTTTGCATGGTGCATTTTCTTTCTTGAATATTTTTTCATGGTTCTCTGGCCTTGGAGAGGAAGTTTATTCTGGCAACACAGATGTCCATGTTTTGAATCAAACAGAAATCCACAAACCATGTTTATGAGCGACTCAGAAGTTATGGCACATTGGTTAAAGGTTCCTCCTCCTTCTGGAACGTCTTTTACAGAACGTGGTCTTGATTTGGCCACGGCTTTTCCCTGTGATTTCAGTGAAAATTAGCAGGGACATATCAGAAGAAAAAACAGCACTTTGACACTATAATCTTAAAAAAATACATCAAAAATATAGAGCAAGAAGAGAAAATAAAAACATACTTTTTTTTAGAGATGTGTTTTTAATTATCTGATACATTTTGAGTTTCACATGACAAATGGACACAGATATCATCAACATACATACTTTCAGGATGCAAAATACGAGGCCTCACATCTAGTGTATCTACAGCACAGTATTGGGTAGCAAATCAATGCAACACAGATCTCTCAGAGAGAGCCAACATATAATAACATGTTCTTTAAGTCAAACCAGATCCCTGTCTCAAAACACATGGACTGGCACTGCCTCCGTACATGACATCAGCTGCTGGTGGCTTCTATTCTAGTCCGACATAAAGCATGTTGACTGCTCGGCCAGCTCTTGTGGCTTAGGGTGGGGACCTTCATGAGCGGTCAACAAATTTCCCTAAGATACTCTCCAGGGATGTAATCATGGTTAGGACAGGACAGTGGCAGCAGCAACACATTGAATCACAAGCGGCAGCTTTAATCCTCTGGAGTCAGAAATAAATAGTGCAAAGGACTGACTTCCTTTGACTCTCTGACACCAGCTTTGACTCTTCTCCTGTTAAAACTAAGACCTCTTTTGTCCCCTTCTTCCTACTACTTGTCTTCGACTTTGTTTATTCTCAAATCTTTTCATCTTGTAGTGCCACACAGAAGCCAGCAGAGGGCAGCATTGAACCTCGCCTAAAGGTTTATTGCAGTTTTTTGCAATGAAAGTCTCTTTTCTCGCTAATGGTTGATCTGATTGAACAGCTACATTAAGTTCAATGTACCACAGTTTCTGATATAATTATTATATTAATTATGTTTTGAATGACAATGACAGTAACTTTCAAATGATTTTGCACTAACTGGCTAAATTTGGAAGTTGATTGTGATATGAGTCCAGGTTGATGTTAATTCTGAGAAAGGTTGAGAAAAGTCCTTCAAGATGTAGGATTATAACAAGTGAAAAAACCAAAGATTTAAATTCTTCCAGTTTAAAGAACATATGTTGAGTTCACATTTAATGGTAATGCAGCTTGGGTGGAGACGAATAATTTAACAAATTGCTTAAAACAATGGAAAGTGTAGGCAACTGTAGTTTAATTGACTCTGAGTCATTATGAATTCCAGACGTATCTTTTATTCACATGAATGTTAGCGTGCTAGACAAACATACTGGGACCATGACAACAGTTACGTACCCAGTCCTGTTTGTGTTTCAAGTCTTGCGATACTTACACTGAGTATGGCAACACTCTAGGGTCACAACAGTATAGCAGTACAACTGTGTACAACCCCACTTTTTTTAGCTTTGGTCATTAGCCATCAGTAATGTAAACAAAGCATTTTAAATGAATATTAAGTGAAATAATAACTTAGGCCGTGTTCACACTTGAATTCTTTTATTCAACTGCCAGCGCCTTTTTTACATACAATCGTATGGAAAAAGGAAAAAGGATGACACCTTTTTAAAAAGCAGACGCCTTTTCACATATCCAGGTTCATATATCCTTTGTATTATTTCTAGTTAAGGTAATTTTTGTTTGGCTTAGAAACTCTACCAGATCTTGTCGAATACATGGAAGAAGAAGAAGTTGGTGCTTGCTGGACTTGTCATAGATAGCTTTGTTTTTGTGATTTGTGCTTCTTTGAGAGCTGGGCTTTAATGCTGGCTGTGGCTTTAGCTGCTGGTATTAACAGCTGTTTGCAGATTGTTGTTAAAGTTTGTCTAGACAACAGTCTTTGTGCGGATGATCTTGTCTCGGGGCATGTTCTATATGTTTACATGTTCAGATAGAAGTCTGTTTCATCTCTTTTTGTTGTCTCTAACAGTTTTTTCACACTCCTCACAGCTCTTTCACTGAGTCCGTTGGACTTTGGGTATTCAGGTCTGCTTGCCACATGCTTAAAATCCCAGGATCTGGGAGATGAGAGATGAGGCGTCATCCAGTTTGATTTGCCAGGAGCGTTTAGCATGAAGAAGACAGTGGCACCTGACATTTGTGTGGAAACCACTTCTACTGTGCACATGGGACGGTGAGGGCGCATTAATGGCTTGTTTAAGTCTCTTGGACCTATGCAGGATGCGAACATCATCAGTCTCTTTTCTATATGTGGCAACCATGATGGAGACCCATTCTGAGGGCTCATCCACAGGTTCAATCACTCTCAGAGCTTGCATTCTCTGGAGCTCTTTTCCCACTTTTTTTGGCATTGCCACCGGGATGCGACGTGGAGGGTTGACAACTGGTGTTATGTTATGGATTTATTGTCATTGAGTAAGTCACAGGTAAGTCACCAAATTCATCTCTCTGCATATTCTTTGAGAATTTTCTGTGGCAGGGTCTGGTCTGGGACAGTGTTTTGGCAGAATACCTCTTTGCTGAAGGTGACCAATTTAATCCTTAGGCTATCCTGCAGGCCTTAAATGGATTCTCTGCCACAACTTGAAATTGCAGGTCATATGGTTGCTCCTTCACCCTGCAGTGTAAAGTCACTGCACCAATCGGTTTGATCATATCTCCTCCGTAAGCCACAAGTTTAACTTACTTATGCGTACATTTTCTACGTGTGCCTCTTCTCTTTGAATGTGTCGAGGGAAATTACGTTACATTTATCACCAGTGTCCACTTTTAGTTAAAGGGGATTGTTGTTAACCTTTACTGTACAATGTTCTTCCTTTTTGTAATTTTCATCATCAGTTTGCACAGAGTTTATTTCATTGTCGTCATGCAAAGTCAGGCCTTCAATGGTGAATGTTTTGACACTGTCTGAGTTTTTTCGAGTAAGTCCTTCGTAATTTTCTCAAGTCGAGTCTAAAGTCATCAAACCTGTGACTGGAGTCCAGTCCACAACATGTGACTCAAGTCCACACCTCTTGTAGGTGGTGTTTAGTAGTCCCTCACCAGGTGATTAATGAAATGAAATCTAGTAGGCTAACGTTCCTCTTTAGTAAAATGTCATTGCAGTCGAGCTGCTTTATCAAAATGACAAACATGCAAAATGAATATCTATATCACACTAAAACTAGTAAATTGATTTTATTAAAATCTCCTCATGAATGTTCCTTCATCATCAGCTGTCTAACAATGAGAGCTGTCGCATTAAACTGGAGGAAGCAGACTCTTAGATGCCACCGCAGTACCTGCTGCCACGACAAGATGGCAGCGCCCACTAACCCTCCCTAGGAACAGGTCCATAACAGTAGGCTACAACAACTGTCTACACTACAGCTACTATCATCTCCATGGTAAAATATATACTGTATATAAAAAAAACCCAAAGCAGCCAAGTGCTCACCGCTCACACTGACGCCCTCCGCCGGCAGGACCACCGCCCTCCGCCGGCAGGACCACCGCCTCCTGACTCAGGGGCTGAGTCAGCGGGCGCGCGCAATTCCCAACACACGCACGTGGTTTCATCGCGTCTCCCACCTGAAGTTATAAAGTCAACTAACTTCACTCCAAGTCGCCAGAGTAGAGGAACAGCAAGTGGATGTAGCGCAAATTTCAATCAAGGGGACTGGAACATCAGGTAGGATTACATTTAACTATTTTATCCTTTTAGTTTTTTAAATCTTAATTGCTGAGTTGCTGATAAATTATTTGTTAAATGATCAGGAGTGATAAAGCATACATTTATAGCAAATTGAGGGTGGCATTTAAATCCAAGCAATTTCTTTAGGACCACGGCAAGTTAGTTTACATAATTTATTACAAATAGTAGGGTACTTCAATGAAGTCAGATTTTGAAGTCATATGATTGTTTTTAAACTTGTGCGTTATTTAACATTGTGTTTGGATAGAGTAGGTTTTAAGGTGTGAATTTCTGCTTTAGTTGCAACTTTTTTGGTCAGC